CGCTACCAAAAACATTTCGACAGCCGACTGGGAAAAAACGAGCGAGAGGCAAAAATACAGCCTCGTTATGGAATCCACCCCATCGCCTAAGACTACCCCTAGCACCAAGGGGCTATACAAGAGAAGTATTGTAATATTTAGCTACGGTAGGCTTACTAGTATTGATCAGAAGCTGGGGTAGCATTATACACAAGCCATATAAAAAAAATCAGGTTTTACACAAAAACATTCAGGGGTCGCAATTACACATAAAACAGGTTTATACTCGACTATATTGGTTCGCGTCGTAACAATGTTGAATATGTGAATGACTCTTCGCAAAGTAATAGGCAATATATTTATTCCAGATTACACCTGACAAGTGCCGGGGAATGAATCGCCTAAATGCTTGTGGTACTGGTACAGTCGCTACCATATAGGAAGAATTTGAGTTTCGAATTGACCGAACAATTTGCCATAATCTCAGATGAAATTTATAAAATCTTTTCCAAAGAAAAAAAAAAAAATGGCTGATCGAGTCTCTGTTATGAATCTTTCTTTCTCGTAGTAATAATGAGATTTCTCTTCCTAGCTTTTTGTTTAACGTAATTTTCAAAGTCGACATCTTGAATATATATTTGCTTCCCCTTCTAGTTACAAACGCTAACCATTTTGTTGCTGCTGTTTGAAGTCTACGCACAGATTTCTTTTCTCTATCATCTATGAATAGCCGTTCGGAGCTATCACTGCCCACGTCCTGAAGGCACATGGCTATCCATAGATGATAGAGAAAAGAAATCTGTGTATATCCATTGTCGTCCACGTCTAGATGGGTCATGGCAATTCATAGATAGAAAAAGAAAAGGAATTTGTGCAGAGACATATTTGCAAACGTCCTGAAGGGACATGGCTATTCAATCAGTTATATGCCATGCATGATACACTCATGGCACATAATACAACTATATACATATATCTTTCGATACATGACTGACGAGACAGATTTTTTCCGCATTAAACCACTTGCCATCAAAGGCTACAGAACCCGTTCTGTCCTGCTATTTACCCATAGCTGGGGGGAGAATAAGACGATTCATACCTTTCCCTTGGGTATTAGCACGTAAGTGAATGTAATGGATTCGACTGGAATTCGAACTCGGCTTCCCTAATCCGAGCCGTTATCCATTACTCCACCGTACTGTCCATGGCTATTAATAGATAATAAAAACGCCTTTATCCACTGTGCCATGTGTCCTTCAGGATACATGGCACAGTGGATAAAGGCGTCAGTTAGATCCAGTGACAGGACCCAAAGAGTGTGAGTTCAATATCCGGTTAAGGCAGAATTTGGAGAGGGGAATTAACAGGAGATAACTGATAACTGACATCCATTGGCACGTGGAACTAGAACAGTCTACTCCAGTGAGCGAAATAAAGGGTTCAAGTCGATATTCCAACCACCTGAAGAAGGCCGGAGCGTACAACGTTGTAATTAATATGGCGACAAAGATGAGGACAATAGTCCGAATAATGTAAATAGTGTAAAAAGAAATAGGTTGTGAGTTATTATCATCAACGACTTGAAGAGACAGGAAAATTCATAGATAATAAAAGAAATTTCTGGAATTCTTATCACCTACATCATAAAAGCACTTGGTTTAAAAAAAACAAAAACAAAAAAAAAACGAAAAGCCGTTTTAGAGTGATGCAATATAAATAAGTCTTCATCCGTCTTGTTCCGATTAAATTAGGAATTGATAAATTCTGTGTCCTATACACGTTTGACGTGAAAAAACATCTTCAAGAAATAAATGAAAGGTTGACAGAATAATGGTTGGATATTTTAGTTGGGAATAAATCAGTAAAGAAAGTTTGGAATGGCCGGTTGGGGATGGTTGGCTATTTCTTGATCTCACGTTTTCTACTGACATAAACTGCAGCGATTATGTTAAGTCAACTTCTTCGTCTGCTGCTAGGAAATTTTCTTCACTGTGTCGTGCCATCCAACTTCTCCCGCCAGAAGCCATCTTGAATATTTACGTATTCCCCGTATAAATCCACAACTCGTCCGTCCATTGAATATTGCTACCATATCCGGTCTAGTGTTACGGCTAAATAGATACCTCAAAACAAGGATCTGTAATGTTATTGGTACTGACCTGGTCACTCGACTACAGTCATTTACCACCTGCCAAGGTGTGTCTTTTTTCTGTTTTTTTTTTCTGTAATTATTCTCATGGTAGATAGGTTCTTTTTCTTGGTACCACGGCAGAGTGAATTTAAACGTACTACTAGATTGGCAATTAGGTCTTATCTTCTATTCTAATAGTCTCTTTACTTGCCTATGGAACTCCCTTCCTTTTACTTGCTTCCCAGCCACCAATGATCTTCAAAAATTTAAATGCAACGCTCATTGTCATTTCCTGTCTTCCCGAACAATATTATATTTTCTCTTCACTAAAGTCTTTTAATTCCCAGTAACTCCTTTTGTCTTTGTAACGTTATCGTCTTGCTCGGTATGATTAAAAACGTGAAAAGGAAATCGGTTCATATGAAACACGAAAAGATGGCGTGGTAATATAGAGAGGGAAATAAAAAAAATATATACAGAAAAATAAAATGAAGAAAGAAAATTAGATGCTGAAGTATTAAGAGAAACATGAGAAGACTAGAGGAGAGAATGCTCTGAAACGGAGAGAAAAAAAAAGGAAATATTTTCGGGGTTAAGACATATTTGTAATGCTGCGTAAAATAATGATATTTCTAAGCGTTCCTACTTATAAAAACATTCAAAATCTAAAAATTCTGTTTCTTTAGTTTTCATCCTCCCGTTTTTGTCTTAAAAACACGATTGAAAACAACTACTAAAACGGAACAAAAAAAAATGACGCATGCGCATTGGGATTCTAACATTGACAAACATGTTTTGGGAAAAGCCTTTAAGCTGTGTGATCGTTTAGACAAAAAATAAAGCTTAACACGTAAATGGAAAGAAGAAATATTTAATGTTCATTTCACAGAATAAAAAGACAATCAGATGCTTCGAATTCTTGGAAGGCTTAGTTAAAATCAAACCCAATCAATGTCTTTCAAAACTAACAAACTGCGAACTAAGGTTAGGGTCATATTAATTAAAATATAGTTTTGAATCTTCCTTCCTCCGTTTTTATGTTTATTGTTTCCATCTTTGGTATATTGATGCGAACTCCAGGCCAATATGAGATTTTGAATCTGGAAGGATCCTAAACGAATGGTTTCCGACTGTATTTCCGTAAATAAATTGCGTTATAAAATGTGACTTACTTAAAACAATTTCGTGGCCTTAACGTGGGAAATATTTCCGCAGTTTCAAATAAAAAAAAACATGACAGGTTATAAAAAAAAAGGAAAGAAGCATCGACGAAAAAGAAAGATATAAAGAAATAAATGAATCCAACGAAAGGTTTAGAGGCAATATATATTAATTCCAACCAGTCATCCCTCTATAAGCAGAATTCGAGGCCTTCAAGCCTGAATGCTAGCAGCTTTTGTCCTAACACACACACACACACACACACACACACACACACATATATATATATATATATATATATATATATATATATATATATATATATATATATATATATATATATATATAATGGACAAATGGATAATTATTTTAAAACATTTTATTTTTTTTATACATCCTTTTTTATAGATACAAATATTTAAGTAAATGCTCTGTTTATAATAAGCAGTGTTAAACAACATTTACCAGCCTGAATGTTCGAGAAATTTTCACGGAGGACGAATATTTTCTGTGATAAATTTCTCGGACATTCAGGCCGGTAAATGTTGTTTAATACTGTTTATTATAAACAAAGCATTTACTTAAATATTTGTATCTATAAAAAGAATGTATAAACATAAAAATGTCTTAAAATATATGTGTATATATATATGATGGACTCTCCCGTCGAGTTCGACGTATGACGTTCCGACGACAACGAACTAATTATCTGCATGCCTATGACAAGCATGACTTTTGAGACTGGCTTGAGAATTGCACAAAAGACCACAAACTGTACAGGAGAATGTATTGTATCCAAGTGCAGCAGGAACACTGTTAGGTGCCTTATTTTGCTTTCTCGTTTCATGTAGTCGACTGATGCTTATTTCTCAGTGCAGCTATATCAATGTTGTACTTCTTTAGAACCAATGCAACCAGAGCTGTTTTTCTTTCTGGTGCTGAGTTGTTGTCCTGGAGAGTTCGTACATTTCAAATGCCAAGATGAAGTTCATGTTGTTTTGTAGAGTTTTTCGCAGTAGCCGAATATGTGTGGAACTAATTAGATGTAGTTGTCAGAAAACCAACACAATGATTTGTTTCAAGTGGTGAAGGCT